CTAATATGCATAAGCACAGAAATATGGTCAGGCTCATTACTGTAATAAAGCTGTGATTTGCCAGCAGGATGAGTAGAAACACACTTGCAACAGTCTGTCCCTTCCACTAGTTCATGTGCCATAAAGCAATAAGGTTGTAACAAGGGTGAATCCTCAATTCAGTTGGGCTACCTTGTCTGGGTTATTTGAACCCTTATTTGCCTTAAGGGGCCCATTTGCCCATCCTAATGTGTACACAGTGATAATGTAGCCATTTACGCAATAAGGAAGGTCTGCACAACAGTAGTCTGCTCTGCAGTACTGTGGAGTAGCGCGAGTGTGGGGAAGTGGCAGCGCTGGTCCAGTGACATCAGCGGAGGAGGCATCTTCCGACCACAGGGCTGGCTTTTGAACGTGCTTCAGAGCAAGTGGAGTGCTGGACAGGAGAAAAGCCAAGGAGATTTCTTTTTAGTGCTCCGGGAACATTACGATCAGGCCGATGAAAGAAAATGCTCCGGGTCCCCTGCTTGAAGTTTCCATATTATACAAAAGACTCCTGAGTAATTGTAGAACTTACGTTGAGTAGAATTTATATTACCTCCAAGAAGATGGAAGTTTCCTAGCTGGAAAGAAGATGCTAAGGGCTCATTTCCCGTGGGGAGGGAAGGGACATTCAGTAATTACACAAGGACAGGGTGAATGCAAGGATGATGGTCAAGTGGCCCCGAAGGTGCCATGATACCCCTCAGTGACCTCAAGCAGTGTAGTGCCCTGTCTTTGGGAGTCCCAGTCATCGAATGGGCTCATGAAGAACATTCTTTGACAGCAGAGAGCTAGACAATGGCGATCCAACTCTGTGGCCCACTGGCAAAAACTCTGAAGATCATGAGGTACGTACCTAATTTGCTTTCTTTTTTTTTTTCTTTTTTTCTTTTGACTTTTCTGGCTTTGCATGAAAACTAGTTTTGTGTTCCTACATACCCACGTGAACAGGCTGAAAAGCTGCTGGTGGAGTAAAAGGAAGAAGATAACAAAACTCAGTGTCCGCAAAGCCCAAGTCTTTCCCGAGGTTTGGAAGGGATTGTACTCATCAACTAGAAGAAAAAATAATCTAGAAACTTGCACATCCTACCCCCAGCATTATTCACCATACTTTTCTTTTTTTTTAAATTTTTAAAAATTTTTTTTCACCATACTTTTCTATGCTAAATATCCAGAATGCCAAAGGAGCATGGTCGCTCTGGCCAACCCCAATTAGCTGCTCTTGGGACACTGCGCTGAGCAAGATTCTGAAGTCGTGGGAGGTGTCAACAGGCACAAAGAAGGGAATGGTGGTGTGGAGTCCAGCCCTCGCAACCCTCGGCCGCCGATGACGAGGTTCCGACATCACCCTCTCTGGCCTGAGAGGCCCCTCTGCGTTCCTCATTCTTCAAGGTGCGGCGTCAAGAACACCTCCAGCCCTTCTTCATCCTGGCGTGCTAGTGCGTTAGGCCATATAAAGACTGATGGTGCAGGGATCCCTGGGTGGCGCAGCGGTTTGGCGCCTGCCTTTGGCCCAGGGCGCGATCCTGGAGACCCGGGATCGAATCCCACATCGGGCTCCCAGTGCATGGAGCCTGCTTCTCCCTCTGCCTGTGTCTCTGCCTCTCTCTCTCTCTGTGACTATCATAAATAAATAAAAAAATTAAAAAAAAAAAAGGCTGATGGTGCAGCATTCACATTAGATGGTTTACGTGCCATGCATTATTCAAGATGAATCCGTTTTGAGCCACACACCTTCACATGGAAACCAGAATGTGTAAAAATAATTTTACGTCTATGTTGATTCTTTCTGGGAAGTGGACATGCCAGAGGGTAAGTGAAATGGACACACCCATGGCCAAGGGGGAGCCCTTCCAAGCTAGCTTGATGGAAAAAATGGAGAAGACAGCTCTCCGGGTAGTGCAGTTTTGTTGGGGTTCAGAATATTCGCGTCCTGCTGCTAATACTCCCCACCGGCCTCTGTGGTGTCTCCGATGCCAGCGAAACTGCTACCGTGAGTCAACGTGTCATCCCCAGGATGCCCCAAATTGAAGGCAAACAAACTCCTGGGCAGGGGTCCCACACTAAATCAGTAACCCAATTCCCTATTATCAAACCAGCCGATAACTTCCAAAGAGAGGGGACGAGTTAAGGGAACTGCAGGATCTTTCTGGTATTTATTTTAAAGAGATGTGACGTAGACTGAGTAGGAACATTAGCAGCAGAGAGCGGTGCTGGGAAGGGCCTCTCCGGACAGAGCTGACCGAGAAGGCTCTGGGTTCCTGAGAATAAAGGTTGTCAAATCAAATCAACAGACATTTTTTTTACATACCTCCTCGACGCTCTGGGATCCACTGCATACCACACAGGCATGGCATGAGCAGATGGTGCAGGGTCACGGGCAAAACGGCTTAGTGGGAGACATCTCACTGTGCTCGGAGAGACCACTCCTCTTTGTTTTTACTTATTATGATTTAAAACAAAAAAAAAAAAAAACAAACAAACAAAAAAACCAACTGTGATTTTTTTACTCCATAGCAGAAGACAGAGCACTATAGCTAGCATTTTTCCTTTTTTTTTTTTTTTCTGGAAATGGATGGTGGTGGTAGTGTTTTTTGGGTGGTTTTTTTTTTTTATATATATATATTTTTTTACTGGAGTTTCATTTTTCCATTTATATAGCCGTGAGAGCTTTGTCACATTTCTGAGGATTCAACATCCAATCCCACATTTTAGCTGCGAAATTCACCACCAGCCCCCCCCCCCCCAAGGCTGTGCTTACAAGATGGTCCCTGCCCTTGGAGGGCCTGTGGCTCGGAGGAGGAGGCCGCTGAGGCAAGTGGCTAGAACACCTGTCCATACCGAACGTCCCGAACATCTCGGGAGAGCAGCAAACAAACGGTACACGGTTGTTGGGTGCCGTCACCACAGGCCTGGGCCCCCACGCGGGAGGGGCAAAGCCCACCCCTGGGCCCAAGCCATGGGCCACGGGGAAGAGGCCGAGCCCGGGCTTCATGAGGTTGCTCAGGGCTGGTCTCCACTTACCTTCCGAGTGATGGAGGCTGTACCTCACCCCGGGAAGAAAGTCTCCTTCAGTGGGACACAGACATCAGTCTGGGGACACCATCTGCGGCCACTTTGATCACTGGTGCACTCTCTTCCAGACTGGCCCTTTTAAACTCGAGGTTCCCGGGGGAGGCCCTGGTGCAGGGAAACAAAAACCGCTATTGATGTATAGTTTAAAGGCATTTCTGTGCTTTGGCTCTTCTTGTCTTCCTTTCCCCCATGTTCCCTCTTCCTCCAGCCCCCACGTGCAGCCTCCCTAAGGTCTCCCTGGATTTGATCTACTGACCTGGGTGCTGAGGCTGGATTTGAAATCTTCTGAAGGGTCCTTAACGTGCCAGAGTTAACAGGCCTGCCTGGGCCAGCTGCTGTCTCAGAGCTGCCACAAACTCCAAGGATTGTTTGGCAATAAAAATCAGCTATAAAAGTGTGAAAAATACCAGAGACCCGAATGTGAGAGGGAGGCAAAGCCGGGGGGCGGGCGGGGGGGGGCATGGCTCTTACACCCTTTTAGTGGACATCTGATTTATTTTTTAAGTGGAAAAGCCATTTTATAGCTACTGTAGTTCAATTATCTCTAATTTTACACATTTTATGCAAATTCGTCCATCTTAATTGCAAATGAGAAGGAAACTTATTTTTTCGAGCAGAAAAACAAGGTATAGCTTTGTATTTCCTTTTCAATTTTTAATTCCTCTTCGTGGTTCAGCACCATTAAACTTTTAAAACTCTTTTTACACAGTTGTTTAAAATTATGTGTAATTTAAAGCACACTTGCATGTTCACAAACATCCATAGCCTTAAACAAGTAGCTAATTTTGTTCCCAGACCTCACTCTCCCTCTCCGAGGAGACACGTTGAGGGTCCCCTACCTGTAGTTTCAAAAGGCTGTGAAAGGAGATATTTAAAGTTTTTGCAAAGAAATTTAGTGTCTTAACAAACCAAGCGCATCGGGACATACTCTAAGTGGAATGAAATCGGGATGCGGGTTTTTTTGCAGAGTTTTTTTGCCAAGTGTCCAGATTTCTAACCGGCCATGTGCTGGTAGATGGTTGACAACCAACTCTCTTGGGAGTGTGACTAACCAAGTGTCTGGTGGTGGTAGACGATTCCCGCGGGTGTAAACACGGCAGTCGGGCCCCTGGCGAGCTGCTGCCCTAACATCCCCCCAGCCGGTGGTGGGAGGACGCGCGGTTGCCCGGTGAGGCCCGGGGAGGCCCGGGGAGGCCCGGGGAGGCCCAGGCAGCCTGCGCACCGCTGCTCCAGCACCGCGCACGTGCCTTAGGGTTTTCAACTGGCTTGACTTGGATTTAGGAGCTGGAGAGCCCAAAAGCCAGTGAGAAACAGGGTTTCCAAAGATGTCACACTGTGGGGAACAGTCTGCGCTGCGGTATCTTCCGAGGGCAGGAGGGCTCACACCTGCAGGATCACTCTGCCAACCACGGGGGCTGGGGGTGGGGGGTGGGGGTGGAGCTACCCCCGGTCAGGGCCTAACGGGGGTGGGTGGCTGCGGCCCCAAGCGCGGCTCCCCACCAGGGCAACTGCAGAGGACGGGGCACAGAATGAAGCCTCCATAGATTGCGATTTGGGGTTTTCACGAGGAAACGGCATCCCGGCCGTTTGTGGGGGAACCGAACTATAATCCTGAGCCCCGAATCTGGAGAAAACTCAGCCAAGGCATCAGGACAAGAGGACAAAGGTACCGTGACTCTCCAGGAGGATTGCAGCTTGCTGCTGCCGTGCGCCCCGCCTCTCCATCGCGAGGACGCAGGGGGGCGCCGCGGGGTGGGGGGGTGTCGGGGTGGGACCCAGCGGAGCATGGGGGAGACCAGGGGCGCACCACGGGGGGGCGGGGTCGGGGCGGGACCCAGCGGAGCATGGGGGGGGACCAGGGGCGCACCACGGGGGGGCGGGGGCGGGGTGGGACCCAGCGGAGCATGGGGGGGGACCAGGGGCGCACCACGGGGGGGCGGCAGATCTGCGCGGGGCGGGACCCAGGGGCGCCGCGGCGGTGGGGGTCGGAGCAGGGTGGGACCCAGCGGAGCACCTGGGGGATAGGCAGGACCAGGGACGCCGCGGGAGGGGAGAGGAAAGGCGGGGTGTGATGGGACCCAGGGGCGCCGTGGGCGTCGGGGCGAGGCGGGACCCAGCGGAGCATCACCGAGGGGAGGGTCAGGGCGGGGGGGTGGAACCCAGGGGCGCCGCAGGCTCCGCCCCCGCCCGCTGGCCTCGCTGCACCCCAGGCTCCACCGAACCTCCTTCCTCAGGGGCCCCACGAGCAGCTGGTGGCGGAGCCGCTCCCAGGCCAGGGCCCCTTCCCTCACCGACGCTCTTTCATCCTAGCCTCGGAGCACAGCAGGCGGGACGCCAGCGTTTGCCTCCAGCAAACCCCTGGGCTCCTCTGAAACCACGGGGCCCGGCGCCCCGGGAACCATCAGGCCGCCCACCGGTGCCCGGGGAGCCATCGGGCCGCTCTCAGGTGCCCGGGCCCGGGGAGCCATCGGGCCGCTCTCAGGTGCCCGGGCCCGGGGAGCCATCGGGCCGCCCGCAGGTGCCCGGGCCCGGGGAGCCATCAGGCCGCCCACGGGTGCCCGGGGAGCCATCGGGCCGCCCGCAGGTGCCCGGGCCCGGGGAGCCATCAGGCCGCCCACGGGTGCCCGGGGAGCCATCGGGCCGCCCGCAGGTGCCCGGGCCCGGGGAGCCATCGGGCCGCTCTCAGGTGCCCGGGCCCGGGGAGCCATCGGGCCGCCCGCAGGTGCCCGGGCCCGGGGAGCCATCGGGCCGCTCTCAGGTGCCCGGGCCCGGGGAGCCATCGGGCCGCTCTCAGGTGCCCGGGCCCGGGGAGCCATCGGGCCGCCCGCAGGTGCCCGGCCCGGGGAGCCATCGGGCCGCCCGCAGGTGCCCGGGCCCGGGGAGCCATCGGGCCGCCCGCAGGTGCCCGGCCCGGGGAGCCATCGGGCCGCCCGCAGGTGCCCGGCCCGGGGAGCCATCGGGCCGCCCGCAGGTGCCCGGGCCCGGGGAGCCATCGGGCCGCTCTCAGGTGCCCGGGCCCGGGGAGCCATCGGGCCGCCCGCAGGTGCCCGGGCCCGGGGAGCCATCGGGCCGCCCGCAGGTGCCCGGGCCCGGGGAGCCACCGGGCCGCCCGCAGGTGCCCGGGCCCGGGGAGCCATCGGGCCGCCCGCAGGTGCCCGGGCCCGGGGAGCCATCGGGCCGCCCGCAGGTGCCCGGGCCCGGGGAGCCATCGGGCCGCCCGCAGGTGCCGGCGGGGACCAGGCCGACCGGCCTCGGGGCAGCGGGGCCCGCACCTGACTCCGAACAGGCCCGCGACGCGCTCGCTCGGTCCCCGCCTTCACTTCTCCTCCTTCCTCCGTTCCCTTTGTGACTTCACGCTGGTTTGCAATTTGTGTTTCCACCACTGTAGTTAATTCGAAGACACAGTCGATCAACTCCTAGGCTCCTTAGTAATGGAAGTGCCTCTAAATAAAATTGCGCGGGGCGCCGCACTTCAGCGGAGAGCACCCCGCCAGCCCCGCGTCCTGTGCTTAGCTGGCTACCCTTCGCTGCAGCCACATTTATAGCATAATTAATGAAATAAGCTTTTCTTCTGACTTGCCTAAATAGCTCTGCCAGGTGACTCGGAAATTCTCTCTTCATTAGGAAGCCCCGCTCCCTGAGTGGCCGGGACCTTCCGCAGACCCCCTCGCAGCCCCGCAGCCCGTCCTGAGCGCGTGCCCTGCACCTGACAGGCTGAAAAATACACGCGCCTCGTAATGCATGTCAACAATTTTACTATCTGGTACAAATGGAGACTTGCTGAATTTATTCCCTAAAATGCTTTTTATGCTTTTCTTGGTTCTGGCTTAGTGATAATGTATTTAAATGTCTGGGAGAAATATACAAAAGAATGAAACACATAACTTCAGTTGAGATGCCTACATTTCAAGCCAAATACTGGCAGATCAGTGAGTATCTAGGTTAATACTATCCTTATTTGATTAGGATAATTCACAGAGACACTGGCTCATTCCTTCAGATCCTGCCTTTTAACCAATCAATATTTTTAGGGTTATGGTTTTCCGAAGGCAGGTGATAATTCTGGAGCGAGCATCTCAAGGTGCTGCTGACATTGAGATGCACATTTAGCACGTTCTTGGAGTGACAGGACCGAGCAGTGTCGGTGTCTCCCCCCCGGAAATACACACACACCTACTGGTGCCACGACCCTTTAAATTTTTGAAGTTCTAAAATAGGTTTAGCGAACGGGCTCTTATTAATGTCAACGAAAATTTGGCAATTTAAGGGGTGGGCAGTGCCTACCTTTCCCTCTGATGTGCTTGCTGTCTTTGCGGCGTACAGAAATCCCTGAAAAGCCGAGAGACGAAGCAGGCCTCCACGCGAAGATCGATAGTGGGGACGGCTGCAGCCGTGGGCTGGCGCTTCACCTAAATTAGCACATGTCACTACCTACACAAGTCGGGATTACATGAGAACAGGGTAAGGTAGGGGAAAACAAAGGGCAAAAAAAATAGACTTGGATTTTTTTTTTCAGAATGTCATTAAAAAATATCTATTTTAATTTCACGTGACTAAAATTATCTGCTTGCTTTGTATTAATTTTGCCTTGACTGAAATTAGTTGTCAGGCCTCTGTTTATAGCCTAATTACCTTTTCCCTGAAAAAAAAAAAGGAGGTAAAAGAAATAACAATAAATTCGTAATGCAAAAGCTACAAGTTTGTAGTATTAGTACAGATTAGGGATGGTTCCAGGAACAGGGTTTGAAAATGATTTAAATGAATCTGGAGAAGGCTTGTGTTTCTCAGGAGACTGTTTTGCCTGTACTCTCCTCATTGTTCCCTGCCACGGTTATGACTCGTGGCCACAAACACTTGAGAGTGAGTGAGTAGTGCTCGGGGTGGCTAATTTAGTGTCATCTATTTTATTTGGCTCTCTTATCGAGCCAGCTAGATCATCGAGCGTTCACACTCAAGACCACGGTTGGCAAAATTTTCGGTCAAGGGCCAAATTGCAAATATTTTAATCTTTATGGGCCATGTAGTCTCTAGCCCAGCTACTCAGCACTGCTGCTGTCGCGCAGAAACAGCCATGGACAATATGCGAACAAATGAGTATGACTGTGTTCCAATAAAATTTTATTTACAAAAACAGGCAGTGGGCCAGATTTGGCTCACAGGCCATCGTTTGCCAAGCCCTGCTCAGGACAATTCAACCAACGGAACACGAGAAGCAGCTAATGTACACGCAGCATGGCATAGAACGAGTGCTCAACAAATATATTTTAAACAAACTGGAGTATCAATTAAACACCAACAACAGGAAAGTACTCAATAGCAGAAATGTGGAATTACCCCCAAGTCAGAATTCATGGGTTAAAAGAAAAAAAAAATCACTGCTTTGGTAACTTCTTGTAATTCATGAAAATAAGTAGCAGATGAATATGATGGGGACACAGAGAAAAGATAACCCAAAGCCCCCTGTTTACTGAAGCTTCGTGAAAGGCCGACTGTGTCCGGTTGGCCCAGAGTCCAGAGCCACATGCTCTGCTGCACCCGGCTGGGGTCACCGGACGGCCCTCCGTCACCGAGCCAGGGGACATCGCAGGCGGTGTCGGCTGAGTCAGGGTGACGCAGAAGGTATTTTTTAAAAAATATGCATCAACATGAACAGCTTTTTAAAAAGTCCCTTGACAGGGTGAGCTCTGGTTTTCCCACAGAGAAGCACCAGGTCTGGAAGGAAAGTTACGGGTCTCCGTCTCAGGCCACTTCTCGCCTTGCAGCCGGTTTCCTCATCTGTGTTACGAGCGTTGGACCAAATGGTCAAACTCGGACTCTGAGCTCCCGGGATTCCAATGCTACTTCAACTATTTGCTTTCCAGTTAGAGGATCCCTGACTTATCCTACTATGCTTTTTACATAAGGGTGGAGTATTGAACTGGCTTTGTTTTCTCCTCTACCGAGCAAGGTTCCAATCTCCCCCGCAACCCTCCACAAACCCCTCACGGCGGAGCGTCTCAGTCAAAATGTGAAGACAAGCCCATCTCCCCACAGACAGCCAGGGACCGAGAGAAGTCAGGACAGCAGGCAAAGGCCCCTCTCCAGGCCGAGCCTGCAGTCATCTTGGGCATCCTGAGCAGCCCTCAGCTGGAGGGCTTTCCCCGCTCAGTGCCTGGACCATTGCCAAGAAGATCTGTCCAGCTGTAAGCCTGATTTTATATAGTTATTTTCACTTATTTTTTATTTCGCAAGATGTAAACGAATCTGTTTAACTAGGAAATCACGTCCCTTGAAAGTGATTATAACCTAATTTGACATGCAGTATTTGTACACTTATTCTAGTGTTATGATGCATTCACCATGTTTACATAAATAGAGATTTCTGTATAATTACTACAAGATAATGTAAAGAGTTAATCACATGAAATCCCCCAAAATCTCATTTGGGTAAACTTTTTTTTTTTTTTAATTTGAAAGTAAAATTTCCTTTGGAAACAAAGTGGGCCCATTTCCAAAATGTTCTATAACTCTTCTTCGAGAGCCTTATAAAAACATCTACTTTCTTCTTCCATTCTTGTTTGCTCATTAATTGATACCGTCAGATAATCTACTGTGTACCTAATATGTGCCAGATACCAACAAAGATACAATAGACATGTTTCCTGCCTTCAAGAGCTTTATATCTGAAGAAGTCTGGAAGCACTTCATGGAGAAAGGTGAAGCCCTGCCTTGATCTGTTCTGCTTAGCTTTGATGCTCTGCTGTGCTCTCTTGGTGCAAAACACATCGGAAGAAACATACAGGAATGACTTGCACAGAAAGAAATACCAAGAGGAGGGCGAGAGGCAAAATTAGCATGAAATTCTAGAGAAAGAGCTGCAAATATTTGAAATGTACTCATTTTATATCTTATTAGCGAGGGAAGGTATTTCCCCCAAATTGAAATACTTACTAAAATTAAGAAGAACAATTCTATAAGGAATGATCCAATAGTTCTATACCAACTTAAGAAAGACCTATTTGTCTATCTTCCTGAGGCTGAATGAATGCTTCTTTTTGCATTTCGTTTGCTTCCATTCATTCTGTTCGTACCACCTTCTTAATTCCATCTTCGAGGTTTAAAAATGAGGCAAAAGTCCTGCCCAAGCACATCATGCTGTGTGGATAATGTAAAGGGGGCTGGGAAAACATCTACAGGGGCATCAGTGCTGGAAAGGTCACGTGTACATTTCACAAACACCATCCTCTCTGGTCCCTTTTACTGGATGCCACACATTCGGGTGAATCCGGGGTGAGGGCGTCCCTTCATTTCCCCAGGAGAGCTATTTCGCCATCATCATGCTCCAAGCCTTCTCTCACATCCTTGGGCTCTTCTCTTTATGGTGTTTTCTAGAAGACAAATGATATTTAGACATAGTTATAAAGTAGGCTCTTCGGTGAAACAGGACAATTATTTTTTTTATGAGTTCCGCACAATTCTCACCAAAAGTTTCAGAACGAGAGATGGAGATTCAAGAAGGGAATGTCCCAATACTTCAAGGAGATGTTCTTCAAATCAAGGGGTACACAGGTAAATACCACTTTCTGTAGAATGGAAATAACAATTGCCATTGTTGTGGGGATTTAAATAACTTATCACAGAGGGGACTTAGAGCTTTGCCTGGCACATTATGAGGGGATAGTAAACATTTGCTAATTGTAGCGGAAGCGTCAGGGATCACACTGGCCTTGGATGGCACTCCTACACACTCACTGCTAGATTTTACATGTTCATTTTTCTTCAGCCTCTTCCCTACATTCCGAGCCCTTGTGAAACATTATTAATGCCAATAGGAGCCTAAGGTAATGAAAAGTTATCTACCAAAGTGCATGTGTTCTCTCCACTTCCCCAAGTCCCTGCCGTATGTTTGTCTTCCATCAACGTGGCTAATTGTGAAGTGACTATGTTCACGAACACTTTTTTATTTGCATATTTGAGGTTCCTAGTGGAAACACTAGATCCTAACAATGACACTATCAATAATATGGGGAAACTTCCTGATTTAAAAAAAAAAAAGTTCCTTTTTATTGTCTGCCTCTCATTTTGGCCTACTTTCCTTTCTATGTGACCCCTACTCACCCAAGCCAGACTACAGAAGATGAACACACAGGAAGTACAAATTTCCCAAGTTTCACCTTCCCTTTCCTTCCACCAATGAGTGCCTATTAAATACATCAGGTAAGTTTACTTATTTTTGGCACGAGTTCTTTGTTGGCGATAATCATCTTAGGAAAAGAAATGATTTCTCCTGCTGCATC